ATGAAATTTTTATTTAGTACGAAATCATTTATACAAAACTAAAATTTCACTGGTGCACATGTCTAGCAGATATTATTATTATTTTTTCTAATTTGTGTTTATTTTCAAAATTCAAGACAGTTACAGAAGAGTCACAATAAGAACAATATATTATTGTACATCAAGGGTAGCATGATATGTAACAACTCTTCCAGCATTGAATGGGGATAAGTACCTCAAGATGAGACACATGCACGGTAAATATATACTGTAGCATAGAACAATAATGGACAAAAATACACAATAACAAACAATAGAGTGTTACAGAAATAAAAATAAAAGAGAAATGGTTAATCACATGATAGCATATAGAATTCAGCTTTGACCATGAAGCAATAAACCATAACCAAAAAGGTCAAGAGTGGTCTTTTGAATATTATTATTAACATATATGTTCAAAAAAATGCAGCATCCTCTTGGCCAGTCTGGTACTAATTAGAAATAATAGCAACAGTTGTACTAATAAAATAAATACTAAAACGCTGTTTTGCTTTACTGATTGCTTGAGCTTTCAACAAGCAAAGCCTCTGGAATATAGTGTGTGCTTATATCAGGCATGATGTGTTTATATTTATTTGACAGGCTTTAGCCTTTTTTTACTACACTACATTTACTGATTAGACACAGGTAAAGTTTCAATCTGTCATAAAATGAAATTGTTTGCCATATCCCCCAGTTCATTGCAAACTGCTTGGAGCAAAACTACATACTGCAAGATTCTCCTGCTATATATTGAGCCTTGTCTTTTGTATGCTTTATAGGTTTCCTATAAAATTGAGGGGCATTTATGTAGATGATTGTGTTAAATTAGTTTTATGTTATGTGAGGAAAAGGGAACATCTTTGAATAAAACAAATGACCTACAGCTTGTGCTAATGTTTAATGAGCTGCGTCATTGTTCTTTAAATACATGAATTAGCATTTGTCTTCTGTAGAATATTACATATTACATGTTCCTATTCATAGTAAGTATGTATTTCTAGTGGATAAAGGAACAGATGCTAATGTGCTATTCTGTACCATGAAAAGTTTAGAATGTGTGTGAGTACCAAGAGGAATGAGGGTCTTCTTATGAGTCCTAACATAACCATAGTTTTAGCTAAAAGTTCTCATGTCATTCTAGCTATTTAGAAGAGTGGACAAAGGACCTGCCTTCTCTTTTTTCATTGATCTTCATCTCTGTAACATAATTAAGCTGTACCATCTGTTAACTATCTATCAAGCTTTTTCACATTTGTGCTGCTGTTTCCATTGTGAGTGTTATTATGAGTATTATCATTTTTTTTAGAAAGCACCAACTCAATTCGCAGCACTGCATATGGGCACAATTTGTACAAGTAAATAGACAACAATACAAGGTACAATACAAAATACAATAGATGTTAAATAAAATGTGATGATAGATAATTATTAGTGATAAATAAAAAGCAGCAGAAGCCATCTGAGAATACTCCTTAAAATGCCACAAAATAAAAAAAAAACTGTGTTAAACCCCACCATAAAAATGTTTGAGTAAAGCACTGTTAAATAATATACTGGGGGAATCATGAAAGTATGTGAAACAAAATTATGGTTTAAAAAAAAATATATATATATATATACTGTATATATATATATATATATATATATAAATGTGCTATAAACAGTGGTGATGAGTAGTGGAAACTCACATTTAGGGCTTCTGTGTCTTTAACATTACCTTTCTGTACACAGGAAACTTCTTGCTAGCATGTTCCTCCAACAATATTATGGAAAAAGACAAAGGATGGAGAACAAACTTTGGGCAGTATTATAGACAGTGATATCTGTGATATTCCAAGATGTGTGCTCACCTTAGTTAGGAGTCCATAAATTACTGGCTACACGTATTTCAGGTATGGTGTCAAAAATAGGGTGAGACTACCTTTCTTTACAAACTCAGGATGCAATATCAGAAGAAAACAGCAGATATGTATAATGTAAGTGAATTTATTAAATCTAAAATAATTACTCCCTCTGAGACATGCTTTACCTTGTGCAGGCTTTTTGAATTGGTGCACATTTGTTCATGGGATCTCCTACTTAAAGGAGAGAAGTTGACACCTCCTCATTAACTTTCATGACTTGTTCGTCCAATCAGAGAGGATTTCCAGATGGAGGGGCATGTTGTTCTTCCCTTGATGCTAAAGTCTGTGTGCCAGCTATGACACATTGCGGCTATTTCAGATACGTAATATACTAGAAGTCCATGATGCTTCGGAACATCTTATAAATAATGACAATATCTCATTTCTGGGTACAAGCTATCTGAAACAATACAGAATTTCACAGACAAATACAAGAGAAGTTGAGGGTCCTATTCCTGTTGGCATTTACAATCTTGATGAATAGGAGAAATGAGAAGCAACAGGCAAAGGGAAAAATGATGTTTATACAGATTGAGATGAGTGCATTTATTGGTTGCTTGATGTGTAAATTACTGAGTTGAGTAGGTAGGGTTCCTTGAACAAGAATGTCTTTAGGGAGCTCTTAAAGGAACACTATAGTGTTAGGAATACAAGATATAGTGTCCCTATGCCCTAAAGTGATTGTGTGCCCCCCATATTGTTGGAAAGGTTACAAAAACCCTTTTATCATCTACCTCTTTCCAGTGCTGAGGGACCTGGCTCGGTTTCTGCCTACTCCAACATCATCAATCGGTGAGAACCTAATGTGCTTGCTCAGTGAATGCCGCACATGCATTTAGGCCTTCCGACAGGAAAGCATTGATTTAATGTTTTCCTATAGGGGATTTAAAGATGCCACACATTCTCATGCAAAGTGTGAGGATGTCCAGTATAGTTTAACGTCAATTAATATACATTCAATGTTTTTCACTGCAGGGTTAAGGAGACTGGGAAACTGTGTCACAAACTTAGTTTTTCCCAGGGCCTGCGCAGCTCCTCTGGTCCGGCTCCACAGGCAGAATGCACCACGTGGCTGCATTGCCTCTATCCTAAGGCCATACGGCCCAATTGCTCCACGTGGCCATGTGGCCTGAATTGATAGAACTTACCTTTGGACTCGTGAATGGCTCCCTCTGCTTGTTTGAGGGACGAACTGCAGCCCATATATATAAAATATTTTGCCATGACGTCATGACCTTAAAGGGATCACGTAATCTATGCGACCCAATGCTGTTTGGGGTCTCAAAGATGATGTGAACTAATGGGAACTCTTGTGAGCCTATTTAAGGTTTGTTCTGGCCTTCATTTATTGCCCTTTTGTGGTTTCTGTTATAACCTTGTTAAGTGCTCCTAGTGATTCCCTTGTGATTTCCTGTGTTTGACCTAGGCTTCGTATTTGACTTGTGATTTCTGGTATCCTGACCCTGGCTTTGTATTTGACTCGTGATATCTGGTATCCTGACCCTGGCTTCGTATTTAACTCATGATTTCTCATATCCTGACCTGGCTTTGTCTAGACTTTGAGTAGTTCTGTAATCCTGATCTTGATTTATCTTGACCCTGTTTCTTGTTGTATTAATATGTTCAGTCTGGCCATTCTAAGGCTCGTTAATACGCTTTTCAGATTCACCTTTTGAGGGTTTCAACTTTCCTGCGTGGTGGGGTATGACTTCTGTGACACACTGCACCCGGGCCACATTGATAGAATGTGCCTGTAAAGGAAGGCAAACTACGGGAAAGTCTGACAGTGCAGGGAAGTGCATTTCAGAGTGTTGATCCCACATGATAGAAGTCCTGCACTCTAGTATGGGAAGAGGTAATAATTAAAAATGCTGAGAGTCAGTGATTGCTAGATCTTAGGCTAGAGTATATTTATTAATTAGTGAGAACAGGTAGTGGGGAATGGCATCACTAAGGACTTTGTAGGTCATGGTGAGAATTTTGAATTTAGTTCTTCTGTGAATGGGAAGCCAATAAAGGAATTCACAAAGAGGTGCAGCAGATGCGGAAACGGGTAAGGTGGATTAGATTGGCAGGATGCCATTCAAGATGGCTGCCACGGCATACGTTGACAGACAGGGCATTCACTGCAAATTTCGACTTTGAGGCCAGGTTAGCTGAACTGAGGGCATAGCTGAATTAGAAACTCTTCCCATGCTGGTTATTTTGAAATTAGCATTTTAATTTACTTTGAATTCTCACTACTGTGAATAACCCAGGCTATTTCCGTTGGTTATCTATATGGCTGCTCTCTGACTTGTCAGGTGTGAAGGGCACAGCTTACAACAGTGATTGACAGAATGTCAATCTATGTGGATTTTTAAATTTGATTTATTTTTAAATAAAAGAGATAAGTAAATATAGTATTTAAATTCAGGGATGTGACATGTCCCCTTTAATGCAACAAACTCATTTGCATTTTTGTAATAGTTGTGTATCCAATTATATTGGTTACAACATTAATGAACGTTAGCTAACTGATTAATTTGTTGTGTGAAAGAAGAACATGTGTAAATTGCATTTACACTGCATAAGAAACCAAGTGATTATACTTTATTTGAACCCCATTTGAAGTTTTGTTTACTTAAGGAAAAAAACAAGTATCTTCATTATCCTATGTATTAAAATGTAAAAACTATATTAACTCTTTAAGGATGGAGACAATTGTCAAACGTCTGAACCAAAACAACACCTAGAATGTGTGCTATGTGTTTGTATCACTAGATTTTATGGGTTTCTCTTCAAGTGCAACCATTCATATTTTATATAATTTTTCATAGGACAGAATTGCTTTCTTTTATTAATATATATTAGTATAAGATATATATATATATATATATATATATATATATATATATATATAATATACATATATATATATATATATATATATATATATATATATATATATATATATATATATATATATATATATATATATATATAAAATACCAAAATACCAGTATTACAGTATACAATGATACCTTTTTTATTGAACTAACATAATATTTCAAAGACAAGCTTTTGAGAGATTTCCTCTCTTCCTCAGGTCTGAAGCAATACTCCAGTACTTCAGTATTGCTTCAGACCTGAGGAAGAGAGGGAATCTCTCAAAAGCTTGTCTTTGAAATATTATGTTAGTCCAATAAAAAGGTATCATTGCATACTGTATTACTCTGGTATTTTGGCATCGTGTCTACTGGACTAACACGACTAATCCAATCTACACTATATATATATATATATATATTTATTTATTTTTTTAACTTTTTTAATTTTATTTATTTTTATTTTTTTATAATTATTTCTACACATAGAGTGCACTAAACAAAAAAAAAATCAAAATAGATTCACGTATTAGTCACGATTCATAAATGTCTCATATGTCTACAAACTAAATATATTTTTGGTATGTGATGCTAATCATTTAAAAACCCTACCCCTAATTATTTTTATATGTTTTTTTTATTACCTTGGGTCATGAACTCTGGGATGAGAGCTATGATAGTTAGTTATGTAGTGGTGTGGCAGTGCCCAGTTTGACTACAAACAGTGAAAGGGTGCCTTGGAACTCCTGACAATGTAAACAGTACAGCGAGCTGTAATAGTCATGATGCTTGGAATGTTCCTTTAACAAAAGTAAGTTTAGTTTGGAAACCGAAGGTTTTCATATTCATATATTGCAAATTCAAAATTTTCTTCTCTTCTTCTTGCATTGAGCTTTTTCAGACAACATAGAATTTTGGCATCTGTGTGTTTACAATTGAATATCTGGTGGGGTTTTCCTATAGAAACCCTCAAACTGAGAACCGCCATTGCCACTGTTTCTCTGGAACTATTTTGGGCTTCTACCTTGTGGCTGGCCAGTCAAAGCTTTACCCCGGGGACGATTCCAAGCCACCAAACCGATCTGAGCGCTTTTTTGGATGTGTTAGACGCTCAGATTGTTGCTATCCAGGGATGTGACTCTCGAGGGGTTTCCATGTATTTTGGGGGTACATTTGGGTTGTTGTAAAAATGTTATATTTTTTTTGTACCTGGGAGATAATTGAGTAATAACTGACTGACTCAGTTATCTCTCAGGCACATGGAGGAGTTTAATGTGTGTAGAAATTGCGAGTGTTCGTGACCAAGTACCATTGCCTGCGTTTGTGAGACAAAATGGCCACCATCGATTCTGTTGACCATGTTCATTCAGTTGCACGAAATGGCGGCCACCCAGGGGAGCACTTTATTAATAGTTTCCTTTGTGATTTCACACTTGTTACTTGGTATTTCGCGTTCTAATGGGTGCTGGGGTGGTCCTCATTTGGGAACCGAACTAGGCGAGTTCGAACTAACAAACAAACAGCCAAAAGGAGAAAAGTACCGATCCAGGTGATGGGGCAATCCTTCACAATGGTATATACAATTAAGCCCACATCCTCTATCTCCGCTATCATTCGAGTATGCCTACTGTGAACTGAATTTCTCAAGTCTCCACAATTCTTAATTTTCTTGAATCACTTTTGCTGGGTTATTTTTTTAGATATGAATTAGAGTGCATTTCCATGCATGAAAAATTCTGCATTTAATGAAATACTTTTTGATTGGCAATTTTTACTGTTCCTTTAACCTCTCTTTACCTTATAAATCATAAATATGTACTTATAATTCATTTCTGCTCTCTTGGAGAAGGTGCATGATTCCAGTCATACGTTCTGAAGAACAGCTGTTTCAGGTGTAATAGACCCTCAGTCAGAAAGAAAATAAAACATTCTACATAAGCACAATGCCTCTTTAGCACAGTAATATTGTATTGGCATTATAAACAATAGCACAGTAATAAGACATGGGCTATAATGCCAACAAAAGTTTCAGTACAATCCTTTCTACTGTAGAGAACTCCAGAGGGCTCATTAAAGATTTTTCCTACAGTTCTGATGTACTTACTACTGGTTATAAAATCCAATGCTGTTCATATTTTAAAGTGACTTTTTAGCATGATTCAATATGTATATTTCTATATTCATTTCTTCCAGCTATCTGGTTTCTCGTTTTTTTTTTTTTCTTCTGTCATTTCTGTGAGTAATTAGGCTACATGTTATTATGAATAATTGTTCACACAGTTAAGTCAGATAACATTTTGCATCAGTTAGGGATTATGCATTTCTTCTTTGTTATTCCATGTCAACCTCATAAGTGGTGTTTTCAGGCATACATGATATATATATATATATATATATATATATATATATATGCACACACACACACGTTCCTTTCTGCAGGGAATGCCCTCACTATTTTATTTTAGATGGCTTATATAATACAATGAAATCCAGTATTAACTTAGCTAATTTGGGGATTTAACATCATATAAGTGTGCAGTAACAAAGATCTTGAAGAAAACAACATAAAACACAATTCTTGGAGTGAAATAGTGATATGATGGAGTGGGCAGGTGGATATTAGTATTTATTTTTTCATTTTTTTATCAGGCAGCTGTCTGGTGGAGATGCTATGAAAATTTACTACTCAACCCTCTTTTAGTTAGGTTGCATGGTGGGACTGCATTGAAAACCTGACTGTGTGGCATGTGCTTGTTTCTGGCTATGCTTTTTATTGGGATGCTGGAGAGCATCAACAGCACTGTTGATGGTTTTTAAAAGACATAATAACATAAAAACATAGAAAAGCTGTGATATGTCCTGACATATCTCTATTTCCCTGTCAGTGTAGGTGGTCATCGAGTCTTTCTTTGGTCTCAAGCCCTAGTTGTTTCTGGAACAAATAAACTCCCCTGCATTTGAATAATTGCCAACTATCATTACCTTGCAACTAACACCCCAAAACATGATACGGATTGCCATAATTGAACAGATGTCACTATCTGTTAAGTTAAAAGAGACTTCTGGAACCATACTGAATGCTGATTGAAAAAGTTCTTGGTGAATGGCTTGAGAAACCACAGGCTTCAAGGAGATTTTGCAGTCTGCAATTTCTATTATTCTTATTTTGTTCTGGAATCCTTTTTGTGTCTTTTATTACTTTACAATACATGTATTTATTTTATGTTACTTGATCTGTTGGTACTGGCTTGCTATAGAAATATATTGATCTTGAAAAAGATGCTAGGGGTTGAAAAGAATTACACCAAATGTATGTTGATTATTGTGAGTTGCCAATCTTTAGTTAAATATTACCTATATATGATTTAGTATCTGGTTATGTCATTTTAGTATATTGTGTTGCTTTAAAATTTCCCAGTATAAACATTCATTACCTAGAAGAGATAGTATAATTTGGTTCATTACTCCTGTCTTGTGCTTTTACATTTTTGAGAAAGTTGATTTTAAAAAGAATAAGAGGAGTGTTATGAGCAAGGAATTGATTGGATTAAGCAGATAATTAAATAGGCTCTAGAAACATAGAATGTGATGGCAGATAAGAACCATTTAGCCCATCTAGTCTCCCCAATTTACTAAATAGTTTCATTAGCCCCTGACCTTATCTTATAGTTAGGATAGCCTTATGCCTATTCCACACATGCTTAAAATCCTTTACTGTGTGAACCTCTACCACTTCAGCTGGAAGGCTATTCCATGCATCCACTACCCTCTCAGTAAAGTAATACTTCATGATATTATTTTTAAACCTTCGCCCCTCTAATTTAAGACTATGTTCTCTTGTTGTGGTGATTTTTCTTCTTTTAAATATAGTCTCCTCCTTTACTGTGTTGATTCCCTTTTACGTAATTAAATGTTTCTATCATATCATCATTAACACATAGATTGACTTCTTACAGCAGTGAGAGCATGTATGTATATTCACATTAAATTGATCAATACAGATTGTTCTGTGTTTTTAGCAGCTATCATTAATGTAAGAAACAATCCCAAAAAAAATTGTTGGCCAAATCGATTTATTCTAAAAATATATTTAGTTCAGTTGGTAGGAAATTTGTTCATATGGTGTGTTAGTACAGATGGATTTCATCCATGCAAATTTTGGAAAATGCTTTGGATTAACCAAAAGAGAGAACAAATTGTCCAATCAGTGTATATCATGTAAATATTTAGCACTACTCTGGAGCATTTAAATGCCATTTAGGCCTTAATTTTGTTGGGTAAGCTTTTTCGAATGATTTAATATTTTTGAATAAACTTTTAAAATATATTTTTTTAAAATATCAAAAATATCAACTATATCAATATACAAAAAATATCAACATATTACAAAATTACCTTCAGGGGGAAAATGAGGAAGGGCAGTAAAAAAATAAAATCTATATTATATACTTATATATGGTATATTTATCTATTATTTGTTTGTTTGTTTTGTGATTCGTCCAAATACCATTTTCTAACTTCGGAATTCAGACAAAGCACTTATTGCCAAACATTCAGACGAATCACAATTCATTTGAAACCAAATACAAGTCTAGAAACAGTTATGTCTGAAAAAATATGTTTAGCCTTTGGCGTGATGTATTCTTACGTGCCCAAGAGCCTGTAAAGTGTTTTGTGATTATTGTATAAACAAAATGTTATTTTGGCATCTGTAATAAGTACAGGAAATAATCTCTCTTTTCAAGAAATTAAACATTCTACAATAATGTCTTAAAATACAGTAAAGCTATGCTAAGCGTATTGTGACTTTGATTAGACGCCACGACTAAATGGATTTAGTAATGGGCAGCTTAGTCATGCAAAATATATCCAAAATAGTTAAGAATTCCACCTGTGCTTTAAAAAGGCATGGATTGCTTCTTACTGATCTAATTGGTTGTTTACAGAGGAACTGTCACTTCCTGTCAAAATACTTCAAGGAAGGGAAGCTTATACCTATGTTCCGTGCTCAGTGATGTCATGATCCTATGCTTAATTTACTCTGGTCCTTGTAATTACATTTTGTCTATTCAACCATTGCCTCTGGTATCCCTTACTGTCTATAATCTCATTGTCTCGCAGTCCTTGTGCGCTCAAAGTAATATGTCCAGTTACTCTGTTAATCATTGGTTTATATTCCTGACTAACTTTTTAGATTGTGTTTGTCCTCCATTGTTGGTTTCTGACCTTGACTTTTGCTCTATTGTCTCAGATTACTCCTTCCTCCCTGATGC